AAGAAAAAAGAAAAATGTATAAAAAAGAAAATAAGAAAAAAGAAAAACAGAAAAAAGAAAAATAGAAAAAAAATTAAAAAGAAAATATTAATTAAAAAGAAAAATAAAGAAGAAAAAAGAAAAATGTATAAAAAAGAAAATAAGAAAAAAGAAAAAAGAAAAACAGAAAAACAGAAAAACAGAAAAAAGAAAAATAGAAAAAAGAAAACGAAAAAAGAAGATAACAGAAAAACTGCAAAAGAAAAAAATTAAAAAGAAAATAATAAAAAATAAAATTAAAAATAATTTAAAAGAAAAACAGAAATAAAGAAGAAAAAAGGAAAAAGAAACATTTATTAAAAAGAAAATAAATAAGAAAAAGGAAAAAAAAGGAAAAAGAGGAAAAAGAAAATAAAAGAGAAGAGAAAAACAAGAAAAACGAAGAATAAGAAAAAAGAAAAAAGGAAAAAGAAAATAGAAGAACAGAAAAACAAAAAAGAAAAAATAAAAAAAACAAGGTGAAAAGAAGAAAAACAAAGAAAAAACCATGAAAAAATCTTTCTCTACTCCCTCCAATTTTCACATTCCTGAATAATTTATGGCTACGGGTCTGCCAGGACTGGTGTTCCAGTACCCACTGAGCTTGCATCTCCTTCCACACATTTTTGGGGAATAAGCACAAAATTCTCTGTGTTGGATGGAAAGGGGGATCCCGGCCCCGGCCTCACACCCGCCCCTGCCAACACCCCCTGTGGAAAGCAGGGGTCAGGTCACACCTGCCATGGGGCCCCAAGAGACATGGGGAGCCTTGGGACGGGGAGGTGGCACAGCGGCCACCTTGTCCCCCTCTGCCCTAGAATGGCCAGGGGCTCCCAGTGGAGGAGATGCCTCTCTGGAGGGAAACTGTGGGGAGCCGTGTGATGGGCAGGTGGTGGATGGAGGTAAGGGCAGTGGAAATAATCCTCTCCTGAAGCTACTGTCAAGAAAACGTTCAAGAGAGAGAGGAACACAGCTGCCTCTCCATCGCAGAGTCTATAAATCAGGAACTGCTTTCTTCCAGAAGCTATATAGTGCATCCATGTTCCACCCAGGGAGCTGACTGCCTTGCTGATACCCTCCAGCCTGTGTTACGCAGCGTGGCCTTCAACCCCAGGTCCATGTAATTTCAGTCCACATGCTCTGAGGGCAAAATGATGCCCTTTACGTTGTAGGATAAATTCAGGCCATACGTAGCCTGCTTACCATTGGCCTTGCTTTTGCCTGCAGGAACAAGTACCACATCTCCACACCCGGCGGAGCAAGCGCTGCAGTGCAGAGGCTGCAGCTCCCAAATCTGTTTCCAGGTAACGTGTCCTGTGAAGGAGCTGTTTCACCAGCTGTGCTCGCCCAAATGCCACGCGCCAGGGGATCTTGCACATGTAGCCGGGTGCTGCTTCACCTGCATGGGTGCCTGCCCTGTCCCGCTGCTGCTCTCGGGGGTTCAACCTTCCTCCTCCAGCATGGGCTGTGGGTGCTGGGAAGGTGACAGTCCCCTCCCATGCACCGGTGACTCCTTATGCGGCACCTCATTGTCCCATGGTCCCCCCTCCAGCTGTATTCATGGCACCCGGGATACTGTAATTAAACACCTCCAAAGAGCTGTGTTAGCACCAGGGGGACCAACAGCCACAGGCAGCTGCAGAGAAAACACAATTAATGGCCTGGCAATGCCATCCAGCTCCTGCCCAGCGGTCTGAGCATCTGTTTTTTCCCTCACTCTCCTATGCTGTTATTTTTCTGTGACCGTGTTGCACGCAGCAAAACTTAAATGAAAAGCACAATGGCAAGAGCATCAGCCATGCAGGAGGAGAGACACGATCCCGCCTGAAGCTCCTGCTGGACAAACAGGATTGAGCATCTTGGCTTTGCTTGGGCAGTGAGAGAGGTGGCACAGGGGTGGTGGGATGGGTTGATGGAGGCTGAGTCATCTGGTGGTGCAGAGAGCTGAGGGCGCCAGCTGCTCTGCCATCCCCTTGGCTCTGGTGGAGACTGTTCCAAAAACACCTCCGGCACCTGGCTGCATCCATGTAGCTCTCGTGGGCACAGCGTCCCATGGGGAGAGGCAAATCCGCTCCATTTAGTGTGGATTCGCCTCTTCCCACAGGATGCTGCACCTGCCCGTGCCGGGTAGAGTGGCTGACCAAGATGCCACCCAAAAAGCAGCTGCAAAACAGCAGTGGGTGCAAATCCACGTAGCTGACAGCTCCTTAGCACCTCTGGTTGATTCACCCGAGCTTTCCTACCAGCATCCCAGAGCTGAGTGACTCCGCTTGCCCAGGGGTTATGGATATCTTTGGGAGATGTGGGTGGTCTTGCCTAGGAACCGAAGGGATGCTCCTCAAAACAGTGGTTTCACAGTGCAAGTAGCTGCTGAGCATCAGGCGAGCTCCAACCGGCATCTCTACACCCAGTGAGCAGGGAAAAGATCATCATGGAGAAAAGGGAAAATTTGGCACTGATGTTTTTTCTTGAAAATGGAAAAAAAAGTATCACTTTCCATGGTAAATGAAGACAGCAGGGTGGGGTTGTTTTGAAAGATTTTTTTTTTTCCCATGCTTTCCTAATTTCTTCAAACACAAGCGTCACCTGCATCTTCTGGGAGGGCTTTTAGGTGACTTCCAGACAAGCAAATTTATGGCTTTGCAGGTCTCAGGGAAGCAAAAACCTGATTTTCTGACTCAGATTTGGGCAATTTTGATGTATTTGAGCTCCTCTCACTTGATACCTGTGAGACCAGATGCCTGTGGAAAGGCTGCTTGGCCCCAAGTCTCTCTGGAAGGTGGGACCAGTTGGACACCAAAGTCAAAAAGCTGGGCAAGTTGTCATCTTGGACTGGGGTGATGGGTGCCGTTTGCGGGGACAGCGTGAAGGCAGAGCCACTCACGTCACCCACAGCAGGACAGGGTGGCTCGGGAGGGTCCCTGCAGCCCCCCTTCCCTCCCCAGCGCCCCGTGGCTCTCCGTAGTGCTCCCACCCCAGGAGGGACCAGCCAGACCCTGCAAATCTCAAGGGTGTCCCCATGTTGCTAAGAAGCAAAATGTTAACCCCAGCCGCGGATTGTGATGAGAGCTGGGTCTCTGCATTCCTATTTTATTGTTCGGCTCTAAAACATCAAACCCAGGTCGGGGCATTAAACCACCCCTTGCTTAGGCTTTCCTGGGCGGGCATTTTGTCTGTGCTGCGCTGCTGATGGAGACAGCAGGTTTCCCCCTCCCCACTCTCCCCCCGCCTCCCCAGGCTTTGATCCCAGCAGCTCTGGAACCTAAGCTTTGAAAATATAGTGATTTCACAGACGTGTTGATTAGGAAATGAAATTCCAAGAAGGAAATGACAACCTGGCTGCGCTGCTTGGCTCTGCAAGGCTGCAGCTCCCCACCAGGAAATGTATTCTCATATTTTTTTGACACATCCAGGGTGTTGTATTATTAATAAAAAATGCAGACAGAACTTCTTAAGAGAAAATGACTTCCAAAGAAGCTGCTTTTTTTTTTTTTTTTAGTTTTTCCTGTGAATCTGTCATCTTGCTTAAAGACAGCTCAGTCCTTTCTCTCTTTTGCAGAGCAAAAATGAAGCATA